TAAAAAGATCTTCTGATTTGAAAAATAGGAAATGTAAAGGTTTATTACCAATATTCATTTAGTGATGATGTTTGCTTTGTGAAATATGCATGCAAAATTCCAATTTATGATGGAAATCAAGACCTTTACGCAATATTCATTTCATATAAATATTGATTTATCAAATGTATTGTATAATTCCAACTCCGAATCGATAAAATCAAGATAAAAAGATTTCCTATTTGACATTTAATGATGTAATATCATATTGCTTAGAGAATTTTTACTGTTTTCTTCGAGTTGTATCAACAACTATACAATAGATGTGCACCTTAAGTTCATCAGACTTCGGTCAATTAAATTGCTCTCATCTACTTGTAATATTCAACGACGATTTATAGTAATAGGTGAATTCAAACCATAAGTTATTTCCGATTTATCTTGATTTTTATTTTTCTAAGTGTTTATTATTCTTTCTTAAACAAGCATCTTTTGACTAGACCATAATGTTCAACGAATGAAAAATTTCAGAATAAAACATTGTTCTATTTTCGAGTTTTGAACAAAATTGTTCATACAACATTTCGATTTACTGATGACTCGGTAGGTTGAATACCAGACTATGTTGTTAAAAAGTCATTGTATCTGCTCAAAATTGAGGCTACTTGAACAGTTGTCAATCGATGTCCAGCGTGATCGGAGAATAACAGTTTTCACAAGCTGATTGCTTCCTAGCATTGTAATGTTAATTAGATCGCATAATGGAAAGCTACTAGCTGTCCAAAATCTAAAGGCAACGAATAATGCCAATCCTTGTGATAGAAAAAAGAGACAAGCACGAATTATGATGCCTGCATTCAATTATATCAAATCTATAAGCAATATTATGTACATCTGAGTTCCGATATTTAGTAGAATGAAACTGATCCAATGCGTTTATTCGACCTGGTCCAACGAAATAGTTGCTAAAACTTGATCTAGTCATCGAAGATTATTTATCTTATTAAGACTGCTTTGTTTAACGCTGATTGAGATTTCTTCTAAAATTAGCATATATAAAAAAAATAACTAAACTTCTCTCCAAAAAAAAAAGTAAGTTCAAAGGATAATCATGTCAGAAAACATGGCTATAAAGGGATTAGCTGTAATATGCATTTATAGAGATTTAGATATAAAAGTTGGTTTTGTTATTGATAAATTTTCTAAGTCTAATCGTCGTCTGGTTTTTTAGGATTTTACTGCTCACTATTTTGTTTCAATAAAAACTGTTGGCATTCATGAATTTATAGATTTTTTTTGTATAAAAATCATATGTACAAGAGCACACTACTTCAGAAGGCATCGTTTAGAAATCGTCGCCTCCTCGCTAGAATCCTGGATCTACTACTAAACTAGACTGGCGTTTTAATATATGCATAAGAATTTGAAAGATTCAAGACACTTTCATTGAAAGTAAAATATGAACAATAACATTCATTTATTTTATTTATAAACAAAGTTCTTATTATTGAAGATAGTCTTGACAATTGTAACTTATAATTTTGAATAGAGTACAACAAATTAAAAGCTGAACGTTTTCGTGAAAGTAGTAGTTTCTTTGAATGTTCTATGTGTATATTGAGATACAATAGACGATGGTTCCTTACTTGATGTTTTACTTCAAGACATCATGAGGTTGTTATAACACTCGCCCTCATCACGCTTCATGTTCCTTGTAAAATACAAGCTGTTAGTTAATACCAGCGTAAGTAGCAATGATACACACTGGATTAGTAATACAACAAATATAAGCGCTATTCATCGGAGACTAGACTTAAATAATAATATTATCAAGAATGAGTTGAATATCAATTGGTTCAAACATTGCATTATTATTATATAGAGTTAACGCAGACGTCTCAAGCGAAGAAAAAATTTTTTCTCTTGAAATATTCTATTAAATAAACAAAGTGTATATTCGTGCTTTTCGTTCATGAATTACACATGAATTTTAATAAGGTTTTAAAATTAATTGAATATCAATAAAATTACACATTATTCTATATTTATTGGGATAAATATATAGGTTCTCAATAGTATTTTTAATGAGATTAGAATGTTCTAAAAGTGCCAGTAAAAACGGATATTTCCTTCTTCAAAATATTAAATGTTGTAGGAAAGTCGATATTATGACACTTTTTGAAAATATAATCACGTTTTCAATATTCAATATCTCAACAAGGGAGCATCTATTTTGGCTGACAACTTTAGAACATTCTAATAGGCGTCTTCTAGTCTCACAGAGTTCTACTTATCGAAGAAAGTTTAAATTCGAATGGACAATATCAATTGAGAATGTTCACTTGTTAACCTAAATGTGAATACCGAATGATTCACTTAATACAACAGAACTAGAACATTTGTATCATTCATTTGTTTATATCAATGTTTAGATAACAAATGACGAACATAAGCCGCTTTATTTCAAGGTAATTCTGTTGTTTCAATGTTTTATATTTCATCAAGTATATTCTCATGATCGAATAACATCTTTATCTATTTAATATGACATCAGTCGATATTATTCCTGATGATTGATGGAAAAATCTATCAAGTTATATATTGATTGATCAAGGTTCATATAAATTTAATATTCGATACATTTACAATTGATGAAATTCATTCTAATTTACTAATTTAATTTAGAATCTTATAAATTTTATTTAGCAAAATTCTATTATATATCATTAACAGAAATCAATATGGAACGAATGTTTGTCCTTGAAACAAAAATGCCCTACTTCTTTTATAAGTGGGTACTAATATTAATTGCATTCGATGATATTATTAAAGAAATACATAGTTATAAACATTTTGTGTCTTCGCATATTTGAAACGAAACGTTTTAATGATATAATTTCTTCTATTTATTTTATTTGCAAAAATGAATATAAGCAAAATAATTGTACTACTAAACTCTCCTCCACAATAGAAGACACAAGATCTTTTATTTTTTTCAAAAAGCTAGGATTCTGAAAGAATATTGATTTCAGTCTTTTAAGAAATCTGAGCTCAAAACTAAGCATATTTTAATGTAAATATACTAATTAAAATTCTAATGTTGTATAAAATTAATTAATTAAGTGGAGTCTTCTATTGCAAGAAGAGTATTTAACATAAAAATGACAGCATTAATTTATAGAAAATTAATTATTGTCAATGATTTTTCTTTTCAATATTTTCTTGTCGATCAAGCATAAACTGATGCGTTCGATCGATAAAATTTGTAAAACGACGTCGATAGTCTTCAAAAAAAAAAACAGAAGAACAAAAATCATTGAAAATTTCATCGAGCTAAAAAAGAATAAATTCTTTACTTTGAAAATAATTTTGTTGTGCCTTGTAAGCACTTGTACTAATATTCATTAAATAAGCAAGTCTTTGAAGCCATTTTGGAGAAATATCAATATATAGATGAACATAAACAGTATCTTTATAATCATAAGCATCATCAGATATATGAAGAGTAACTTTAAAAGACGAGAAAAAAGAATTCTTATAAGTAATAAATATTATTTACCGATTTGTTCAATTTGTTTCTGTTGTCTAATTGGACATAATCGTTTACAATCGTGTAAAAATTGAAAATAAACAAAATTTTTTATTTGATTATTATATCGACGACAACGTTGACGATTTGAATCATAAAACCAACGTGAAAAAATCAAATGTTCATCATCATCTATTAATTTAATATAATAATATTAAAAAAATATATATTTGTTTAAAAAATGATTACGTAAAGTAAAACGTAAATAACGACAAGAATCATTATGACATTTCATAACAACAGGATGACATGATTCCATTTTATTCTTATAATAATTATAGTTCAATTTATTTATTTTTGTAATAAAAATTTTTTACATACTGGACATAAATGTCGTTTTTCACATATATCATATGATATATTCTTTGTAGTTATACAAGGCGAAAATAAAAAACTGAATAAAATTAATTGAACAAACATAGCTCGTTTGAAATTCCAAGGTTATTGAAGTCACTCACTCGATTATTCTATGTAATAGATCGATTTTATCATGAGCTAACAGTAACAATAAAATGCCTCGATCCGTTCTTTATTAAATTATTCACATTAACTAGAATGGTCGTATGTATTTAGTCTTATGAACATACATAAAAAAAAGCGCAACTATTATAGTACATTGGTCTTAAATGAGGAATGGTTTCTGTAATCCATTTTCTCCTGCAATGAATCTTTATTATTTTACCACCATACTTGAACATTTGATAGAGGATACTATAGACTATATAATGATGTAACATTACTGACAGATCATGAAACTGGATTTATGAAAATATGTGTGGCATAGGCTTTTCAAATTTACGTATTTCATATAGATGACAACGGAATTTATACACAAGGGTAACATCTGTTATGTCTATCAAGAACTCTTATAACTAAGTTCAGAAGTCGATTTCTCAGTAATTCTTTGCATTCTTCATATAATGCCTAGGTTGCTTTGATAAAGGATCATCGTTAATAAATTGTCATAGTATCAATGAGGTAAATATTCTTGTTTTTCTGGCCAACTCAACTGATAGTCATCATACTGAGCATTATCGCTAGTGAACATTCAGTTTGTACATTAATAATTGTTTCTTTTATAACTATCCGTTAAATCGCGATTAACAAACGATAGCTACTATGTATAAGTAAATATTCAAGCAAGAAAAATATCAGAAATACGTCCATGTGATATTTAAAAAAAATCAAGATAAGACAAGTGTCACATATGCATAAAATAAACTATTACTTCTATTTGTTAATAGTTGCTACCTTTTAATATAGGGTTAGTTTTATTGGGTCTCGACTTCTATGTGATCATAGCCATAATATATAATAAATATCTTTTATTGCATAAAAAAAATACAAAAGAGCAAAAAAAACATCAAAACTAAAAAACAAGAATCAATATTTCAACCTGAATTTGAGATCAAAGAACTATACTAGCGTTCATTTAATTAATAGTAATACGCATTTTTATAAGCTGATTATATGGTATTTGATATTTTTCTGTAATATTTATTCGTACTAATGTTAAATCATTATTAATTGTATTATTTTGATTATTCGATTGTATTGAAACAGATTTAATCATATTAAGACTTGATAAATATAAATGAGCACATGTATTTGAAAGTGATGTTAAATCAAGCATATTATGTATATGAAATGAATTTCCTCGTGATAAAGGAAATGGTGAAAGACAAAGAATTTGTCTTAATAATGCATATACATCTGTCATAAGAACAGGTTCATTTATATGACCTTTTTTAAATAATGGTCCATAAGCAAAAAATGCTGTACGCATTGAAAGATGATGAGGATCATCACTATGATCTGCTATGGCTATAAGAAAATATATTGATTATTATTATTATTATTATTATAAATAATATATTACTTGATTGTTGACAATTTTTATTATTTTTATGACAATTAGTTGGATTCTGTTCTGTATTATATGAAAAATAAAATTTTTCTTTAGCAAATATAATAATTGGTGATGGTTTATTAATTATTGATGGTAATCGAAGTTTTGGTGATAAACGATTTTGATCATTTGAATAAATTTGTATTTGTTCATTAGGAATTTTTTTAAATTGATTCAGTAAAACTTGTCGAGTAAAATCTTGAAAATAAAAGTAAAACATTAGAATATAGGGCTTTTTTTTCAAATTTCTCCATCCTCTTCAGAATAAGATCTTCATGCTATTAGGCTGAACTTTTGTGTATGTAATAGGAGTGCTCATTTACGTATACGAAAAAAAAAATTTCAATTTCATATCTGATTATTTGTTGTAGTTGTAATAATTTTGGTCTATACATAGTACCAACTTTCGGCTCATTCCAGGCTTCCAAAGACTGAAAAACAAGTCTATTCTTTATTTTTATTTTATAGAAAATACTGGGGGCCTAGTAATTCTCGTGATCCTTTTTTCAGATTTTCTTCCTGCTTTGGGATTTAAGACATACATAAAGTCAAGTAGTTTTTCCATAAAACTAGGGCATATGGAAATAATCAAGTTTTGATAGAAGAAAGAGCCACCAGAGTGGCTAACCCTAAATGTCAGCTTTCAAGCAACAGCAACAAAATTTTGACTTCATCTTCTAATGTACTAGAATGTCGTTGGAGACGCGTCTTCGAACTCACATTTTGCAACGTGTAATACAGTAATGCAGATCAGAAAAAGGTCTGCAACTTGCGTAAATAAACACGCGCACTTGAAAAAAACATAAGAACATTTATGCTCATCGAAATGCGACCTGCGAAAGAAGAGATTCTGCTTTACTGTATCAGAAAAATCTTTAATGGCTAAACAAAAACTTTTCACAAAACAAAAAAGATGTTGCATGGTGAGCTTTTTTACTGTTGAAAATGTTTAAGAGGCTTGTAATCTTAGTTGCCGAAGACAAAGAAAAATTTTAGCAGATTTTAGTTCATCAAGCTAAGATTTTTCATTTGTATAAAACATGTGAAGCGTTGCTCGGATCTATCAGTCTAATAATAATAAGAAGAAAAGTGTTCGAGCCTACGAAACTAGAATCTAAGGTAGCCTTATGGCTCCGTCGTCTAAGCTTATTATCATTTGATCTGAATAGGATACACTGAAGATTATCCCTTGTCCTTAAAAACTGATTCTTTTGTGGAAAATGTTTGTTTTAAGAACAAAATTCACTCTTTCTAAAAATTCGATTTCTTTTTTGTAGCGACAATCAACTTTTTTAATCGATAATCCACTTTTGTTTGAGGACAAGAAACTTCAAAATCATATTATACACACGTCAAAATATTCGATTATACATTTATCTTAAATTGAAGGGAGCGAAGAGTCTTAATTATAAAAATAAAAAAGAAAAATTTGTTTTTTTTTATAACCTGATTTTGGATAAACTACAACACTAAAACTAGAACCACTATATTGATCTGTATAAAGATTTAATTGACGTTGATTTATAATACTATATAAATTAATTGCTCGACGACAATCAATATGTTCAATACCATGATCACCAAGAATAATTACATTAATATTTTTTTTTATTGTTAAAGATAATAAACGTCCAATAAGACGGTCAATATTAAGCATTGTTCGACGTATACTATCAGACTGTATACCATGACGTATTAATGTCGTAAATGGTTCATCAATAAAACTCATGACAAGATTTGTTCGATCATTATCATTAATTAAACTATTTATCATTGATGTTAAATATTTTATAAAACGTTGTAAAGACATTCGACCATGATTTAAATATGTTTCAATTATTTCAGGTTGTCCTTTACGTCCTGAACGTAAATATTCATGAATTGATTGATTTCGTTGACGATCAAACCATGGCCAATGAAATAAACGTGTATGACCACCAACATGTTCATTAATAACAGGTATTGTTTCAAAAAAATTACGTCGTCCATGATGTTCAACATGAAGACCTGACATAAGACTAAGAATATTTGTTTGACTACCACCAAATTCTGATTCAACCCATAATGCTCTTGAACCTATTGTTGCAAGACGACGAAAATGTGGTAAATGTGAATATGAATATGGTAAATCCCATCGAAAACCTTTTAAACATAAAACAAATACTAATGGACGACGTTTGGTTGTTAATGTTAATGAAATTGTTCCATATAGAAGAAGAATATAAAATAGATATTTTACGGAAGCCATTGATCTCAACAAAATGATATTGTCTCAATCTTTCTTACTGATAATATTTGTTGTTTAAGAGAGAGAGAGAGAGAAAAAAGAAGAACAAGAAGTCCTTGTTATTCAATAATGCAATTCAACAGTTGATTGATTATAATATATACAAATAGAAATATACAAGAGTTTAGAAGACAGATAATTATCAACTATTGTCCTTCGATCATTATGTACTTACTTCTTGTCGTCATTGTTCAAGATAACTCATGTGTCATTTAGAAGGGCATTTATATCAACAGTGTCAAGTAACTAATAGAATTACGCAAATAAATAAAAACTTCATATATATATATATACAAGAGCTTTTACGTATAATGTCATATTCTCCTGTCGTATTAAAACTATCTGTTGAGATGAAGCAAACAAATTAATTTTAGATTTATTTATCAAATGAAAATTTTTTTTTTAATTTGAAATATCTTTGATATTAAATTAAAAAAAAAGAAAAGTCTTTCACAATGATTATAATTATAATAAAATATATTACTATTAAGATTAATAATGAAAATCGTAGAAAGTAACAGAAAGTCACATACAGTCTATGAATGCCAATCCAAACATTGATTCTTCAAAATTTTCCACCTCCACATCTTATCTTCATGCTAGAGTCTACTGTCATCCAAGTTCAGCCCACATTTTCACTTTTCTTTAAACGTATTTGTTCTTATCTTCATAAATTGACTTTAATATACATCATCTGGAAATATTCCCTTAACATAGACAAAGTGTATTATCGATAGAATATTCTATTAGATTTTTGAAATTGATATAAGACGAAAATCAGGCCATAACTAAATTTCCATCTGTTATATATTCTCATCAATTACATGTAGAATCACGCCCATTTAATATCAATACAAAAGTATTCAACATTTACGCATTGTTTTACACTTTCTAATCCTACAGAGATGCGTTCCCTCATTCTTATACTTCTTCTTGTCGGCACAGCACATGGCTTGTTTGGAGTTGTTACTGGTCTCCTTAATACTGTTGGTAATGTAATACAATCAACTGGCAATCAACTATCTCAAACAGCTACAAATATATGGAATAGTGCTACAAATCAAGTTAATAATGTTATTGGTAATGTAGTAGACACTGCTGGTAATGTTTATGGACAATTAATCCAAACAGTCAATGGAGTTCAGTTTGCTGCTAATTTTCTATGGGATAATGTCTTTGGTCCAGCTTATGATATGTTCATTGAAGGTCAAATTATCTTTTAATTTTTCATTAAAAATAATAATAATAATAATAAAATGTTCATTCTATTTTTCTTTCAGGTGGACAACTGTTTCTTGATGATAAATTTGGAAATATTGTTGGTACTCTTGGTCGTCGTTCAATATTACCAGAAAATGTTCTTTCAACCAAATATACTGAATTAACAGCTCAATTTAAATCAAATCTTCGTGATTTATATGAAAGTTTATTTCAAATGGAAAAAGAAGCTTTAGAAGCTTTAATAAAAGGTGAAAAAAATATCGAAGATAAAATTCGAGCATTCTATGATCGACTCGAAGAAATTCATAAAAATATTAATCAATGGGCTGCTGAAACCAAATATCAGTTAGAATCCTTTGCGGCTACAATTAAAGGTGATGAATGGGTACATATTCTTAATCAATATAGTCAAAATATTGAAGCAAGTGCTAAAGGAATGAGTAAAATGTTACAAAAATTAGCCGAAAATTTAATGAAAAATGTGATTGATGCAGCTCTTACTGTTATTCCTGATGCTTTAGATGCCATTCAAAATTTGAAACGACAAGGTCTTCTTTCATTTCTTGATCATTAGTTATTAAAGGAAATAAACGAAGAATGATTCAATAAAGTTCATATCAGTCTATTGACAATAAAAAAATTGTTGATTTCTTTTTTTATCAATCAATTATAATTATTATATGTCGATTTTTGAAAAATATTTAGTAATCTTATTTAAAGAAAAAACATAAAATGTTGTTTAATCACATAAGTTGATATTCTTTCTTGCTTTCTCCTTCACATATCAGACAGAACTCTTTTTTATTTTGAAGAGCTTACTGAATCAATAACGTTCATCAAGATTCGATTCACTTGATCCTGACTGACGGGATGAAGATATGCATACAGATGCATTTAGGTATAAACTTATATTAAGTAAAATACCCGATAACTACAATAGATGATTTGGACATATACAATAGAGAAAACAAAAGTCTACGCTCTAGAGAATTTCAGTGATTATAAATGTTAAAGATCTGAAAATTTGTGTGCACGTACTTCGTCAAGATTGTAGATCAAAGACACAATTCTGTTTGGATTGCCTAAGCACAAAGAGAATCATGATAGATGGCATCTATATCACCTTTCATTGAAGTTCATCAATCGTCTCTAGCACTGTGGCCATTTTATTGCGATTGTCGATGTGAAAAAAAATGATCTAATCTGCCCGTGAGACAAGAACGCCGTAGTAATTTAGTAAATGAAGTTCAAACTCTTAGATAAGCTACCTCTACAGTTGGACGTTAGAGTGCCTGCAAGTTTCATTAAAAAAAACGTATGTACTGATGGAAAATGGCATAGCTATGACCATTGTGTTGATAAGGCAGAAGATCCAGAAATATCCAAGGACGCCAATTTTCAAGCAAATGAATTCATCTTTTGGGATACAGAACGACCATGAACTGAACTCTAGTTCCACTCAAAAACTTCAAGAATGAATCATGTATTTAGTAAGAAAGTAGTGCAAAATTGAATAGGCAGTCCTTTTCAAGTCGAAAAGCTTAATGCAAAAATAAAGGTTGTCCTTCATCATAATTCTCTGTATACTTAAGCCATCGAAGCAGAGTTGTGTCTCAGATCTACACTCTTGACCAAATATTGTACACAAAAATTTTTAAGCCTCAAGCATTTATAATGGCCGAAATCCTTCAGGGCGAAAACTTTTGTCCACTACTATAACAACAATCCGTTTCACGAAATAGCATCGCCAGCCATCAGTTACCCATACACGGAGAGAATTCGAACTTAAAAGTGAACAAAAGCTGAGTCTACCATTGAAAAGAGAACAATCGGTAGTATTTGAAATGTAAGTGTTTCTATTCCTGATCAACATGAAATGCTCCGGACATGCGAAATTTTTCTTAGAATGAACAAGTCGAAAATTTGTGCAAAAAAACAGTAGCGAAATACACTGTCAAACAAGGATCAATCAGCAGAAAAAAGAATCTTCCATTAGTTATTAATCGATTGGATACGAAGTATTCATTCAACATATGACTTGCATACAAATATTACATGACTATGAACCAAGATAATGCGTTCAAAAACCATCTCTATTTCTGATGAAATTCCGTAATGAACATTATTTTTTAGTCAGTTATTCGATGCAATGATGCTTGTTAAGAAATGACTTGATATTCTGAGAGTTTTTTAAAAATTAAACTACTTTCATATAGAAAGTTTATTTGTATATCCCTTCGTTTCGTAATAAAATATTAAACTCGCAGCTCCGCTTAAAAAAAAAATCTATTTATTGACATTTCATAACAGCCGAACTTTTCTGAATAGCTCAACTCGAGCTAAAAGATAATTAATGAAATTTTTACTGATAGTAGATCGAAATAGTCTCTATCTATCATGAAGATTTCAAATAATTTGTTTTTGCCATTGACGAGAAACAGATATTATAATGTACAAAAAATGAAATTTCCTAACGTTTGACTGCGCTGAAAGCCGGTTTTTTTTCGTAAATATAAAACTGAATTTTTATGTTAATAAAGAAAAATCGATTCTGTATATGCTACACTTGTCTAATGAAGTTCAGTTTATATGTACAACTTTATTAGTTTTTCAACAGAAATTCCATCAAATGCTTTATTGATTTTCAATGAATGATATGTGATCATAAAGAGTAATATATTGATTTTAGAGATGTTTTTTTATGCTCAAAGTTTGAATATTTTGAATAAAAATAACCTTGAAAGTGTGACCATCGAAATAATCCAACCAGTAGATAAGTTTATTTTATTTTATGTACAAGATTGGAAATAATATTATTCTGGAGGGATACCGCTATAATTTCAAATAAAGGACATAATGAATTTTATATCGAATGAAAGCTCGTCAAAAATGAGGTTTATTGGTACCAAATGGTGAAGATTATAAAAAATTTTTAATGTCGAACTTAAGAAATTTTCAGAAATTTTATACTTTATTTAGGGTGGAAAATTAAGGTGCCAGTAATTCAAAAATGGAGTAAAATTTTTTCTTGTATATTTCTACATGATTCGATAGAGCTCATTGAACTCTACAAAACTGTATGTATTAGAAAATTTTTAACTCATTCTTTTGCGATAAAGAATTTAAAAAAACTACTTGGAAAATCTTGCAACAAGTTATAAAAATTAATTTTTTTTATATGGAAGAAAAACATTTGATTTTTCAATAAAATTAGCTTTTTCTATTATTTTTACTACCTCAGGGGTTTCGAACTATAATCATTTGGTGTAATGTAATCCCTGAGGTAGTAAAAATAATAGAAAAAGCTAATTTTATTGAAAAATCAAATGTTTTTCTTCTATATAAAAAAAATGAATTTTTATAACTTGTTGCAAGATTTTCCAAGTAGTTTTTTTAAATTCTTTATCGCAAAAGAATGAGTTAAAAATTTTCTAATATATACAGTTTTGTAGAGTTCAATGAACTCTATCGATTCATGTAGAAATATACAAGAAAAAATTTTACTCCGGTTTTGAACTACTGGCACCTTAATTTTCCACCCTAAATAAAGTATAAAATTTCTGAAAATTTCTTAAGTTCGACATTAAAAATTTTTCATAATCTTAACCATTTAGTACTAATAAACCTCATTTTTGACGAGCTTTCATTCGATATAAAATTCATTATGTCTTCTATTTGAAATTATAGCGGTATCCCTCCGGAATAATATTATTTCCTATCCTGTAGTGTTTTTGCTGATGCTACATTAAACAATAAATTAATTAAACATCAAATGAAAAAAAAAATTTTCATGTCATCGTGTTGTTGAAAGTTGTCAGTATAAGTTAAAAAAACATTGTTGTTAAACTCATTGTCACAAGAAAGCTACTATAAAATGTATTCACTATGTAAAACATAATTTGTTCTCTTGAATCATTTACCATAATGAAAAATTTCAACATAAAACAGACGCACAATAGTTTGCATAAAACAGTAGAATTTTAGAGGAAACAAAAATGACATGGTACGATTGCATTGTAAATAAAAACTAAACAGATCAATGGATGGATTGACCTGGAGGTTCTTATCAGTATACGCGTAACTAGGAGTTGTAGTTTGACGAAAATTAAATTATTCTAGTGCGGCTAATTCTTGAGATATACACAAAATAAAATAATTGTATCTACTGGTTGAATAATTTTGACAGGTACTATATATAGAGAGATTTATTAATATAATATGGAAATTAATACAATACTTTATAATTATTTATATATGCGCTAAATCTGTTGCAAAAGAAAGTTCATAGTACATTTTTCAAACAGTATAAATTTAGTTAATCATAATCTCATGTTCAGACTCATTCTCTAACTCTTAACTCAATAGTTTCATAACAATGATCATCACTTCTAAAGACATTAAAGGTAGCACAAGCACGCACGTAATCGACCACAAATCTTCATATATTAGTGTATACGGTGAAATATCGAATGTGTACGAATTTCGTATTCTTCGTTTTGGGACACTATTCCTCGATTAATTTGAGTCCTAATGTGTGGGTGTCAGTTTTTGTCATCCTACGTAGTCATTTTTACTGTAGGTACTATATTGTAACTATGTTATAGACAGAAGTGAATTTCCGTTTCTAGACTCTATCATTAAAATCTATGGAACATCCTTTTTTTTCGATAATAGGGTGATAAGAAGACTCTTGGCCGACTTAAAAGATAGATAGTTATCCATTGTTTTTTACATGTCCATATACATAGACCACATCACAAGTAGTGATTTTGGCCGATGAAAGTGCACAAGAATTAATCAAGTTTTTGTTCCAGCAATTATTTGAGCTAGTAGCCACGATTAATTACACATAATTGATTTGTTGAAAATATTTTTCAAATAATCTTTGATTAAAACATTCATCATTTCGATTACAGAATTCAATACAACGATTAGCAACTATTTCGATCAATCAAATCTTGTTGGACACGGCTAGCTAAAGAAATACAACGGATATATGAAGCACCAGTAGGTGACAAACTCTGGATACGTCACACATAAATCGGTTCAGATTCTTCGAATTTGAAGAACTATAATCGAACAATTTCTATCAGTTACAGTTCGGCACAATAATTTATCTTCGAAAGAATTTTTTTGTGTTTCTTCTAAAAACAACCAATGTCCGCACCAGAATTAAAGAAGAGCGGTTATAATCGCAGTAACTCGACAACGGCAACAGTTATCGACTTGCGATTTCCAGCAATCGAAAGAGTAGAACTCTGGATATCTGTTTGTCTAATACTATATATGACAAAATTATTATAAAAGCCATCGTCTACACAAAACTTTCAAAAAAAAATGCATGAAAACGATGTTTCGTTTCAAGAAAAGTTTAGTGAAACACTGTTTAAAAAACTGACAAATATAGAAAGAAGAATGCTAGTGTTCAAAATACCGAAGGGCATTATGACAACATTCAACTATACATTCATAAAGATGTTTTTAATATTCTGCATCAGAGCATATCATAATTATTTAATAGCGATCTTATCCTACAGATAAATAACTACGTATTTTTTCCAGTGCTCGATCTAA